TCATACTCACAGGTTAATAGAGGAATTTTCAAAAATTTAGACATCTTAGACGTGTCAATATCAATGATATTTATTTCAAATTCTTTAATTCCAACCCATGCAATGCAAAAAAAACTGTCTAATTGTTTTCTATAGTCAAAGAGAAAAAAATATTGCTTTCTATAAAAAGTCTATATGGTGAAATTAAAAAATAGTCTTCAACATAAATGTAAAAGGTCAAATTCTTATTAAAAAAAAAACACTGTGAATGCTTATCCTAGGAATACAAATCACTTTTGGAGAAGCATTGCTTGGCAAAGAACAACCCTTTAAATAATACTTAAATTTTGAGAAATTAGTCTTATGGCTACCAACTGTGAGAATACCAGCTAAAAAAAAAAAAACCTATTTTTGGGGGCTTGTTCACTCATTCACCTTTGTAAAGATACATTCAAGAAAAAGATAGATTATATTATTTTTTTCACAGCATAAGAAGTGGGCTCTATTGATACAAAGATTATCTCTTCTAAAGTACCAAAAGTAAAGGATAAACATTTTTGAACAAAATTACTACATACACTATGACTAGAATTTGAACCCTAAACCATTTGCTTAAGTGAAGAGCATGCTAACTTTAGTTGGCAAATTATATTTTTTTTTATTTCACAAGAGTGATCAATAAATTAATAAACTTAACTATATTTAAATATTAAATTGCATTTCTAGCATTTTTTTTAAGACAAAATCCTAAGCATTGGTCAAGAAATAAAAAAGACAAAATCCTAGGCAAGAAAAGGTTCACCTTTACTTTGTATTTCTTCAAACCCCAACCCAGATGTTATCACTTAAAGTATGTTTGAGAGCATATAATAAAATAAAAAGAAATGAACATTAATAGAATGAAATGGGATGGAGTGAAACATAATAAAAAATTTCATTGTTTGGAAGTTTTATTAAAAGAATGAAAGTTTTTATTTAAAATTATTATAAAATTAATATATTTGAATTATGTATAATTATGTATTTTTAGCATTAGGGTGAGAGGGGGTGGAAGGGTGAGAATGGGTGAGTGATATTTTACAATAATATTATTTATATTAAGTCATTTCATCCTCAACTCCCAAATTTGAGGGTTAAAAAAAATGAATATAAAATGATTAAGATAAGGATGGCTTGAAAGACCATCCCAAGTCATTCCTCTCCCTTTAAAAAGGAAGTTAAAATTTAGTTTTATCTTTATATTTATTTTTCAGTGTTAGGCACACAGTAATCTTAAATAAGGCAATTTTTTACCCCAATTATTTTTTTAGAAGAGCCAAATTCCCCATTTATTAGTTAGCAGTTTATTCTCACCTTTTTGTGCTGACTTGGCATCCAATCTGGATGCTTTGACCTCTTTCACCCATTGATGTGGCATCCTTTATGTTTTTTAACCAATGATGTGGCCAAAGCAAAGCAACGAGCGAATCAAATCAAAAACCCAAACCCAGAACTGAAAAGCAAATGAAGACTCCCACAGAAGAAGACGCATAATTCAAAGCACCATTGGATATTTTAGAAATAGAATCCTTTTAAAAAGAAACTCTCAAAGGCGATGCCAAATATTGATAAACTTGGGAATCTTCTGGGCATTTCATTCCTCAACAAAACCAAAACCTCCCTTGTTCTTTGCCGTTACGCAATAATTGGGTCAAAAGCAGGCTTAGTCAAGAGAATAAAGCCTTTAATTTCCTCCTCAACTCCAAATGGACCAAAAGAAACCAGTGAATATTGAGATTCAAAATTCAGACTCAAGTAAAATAACACAGATTCACAAGCAAGATCCTCCACCCATTCTGAATTCAAAACCAAGCAATAACATAGATTCACAAGCAAAATCCTCAACCCACTCGCTAAATACATGATAATTGCAAGACCGAGTTTCAGATGGAAGCCCTAAAGTATCTTGCTAACCAACAATAAAACTCAGTCGGTGCCATAGTCACAGCCATCGGTCATTGAACTAAAGATTTTCCCCACAAAGATCCCAGATCGACATTCTCGTTGCATGCAGAAATCGGAACGGGTATAGGTGTTGTCGGTTAAAAGGCCCAAATCAGAGGAGAAGCCTTTGAAATTGAGTTGGGGCGGAGAATGACAATGATCGGAGAGAAGGTGGGATGAGAGGAATGGAGCTTGCTAAGTCTGTTAAGGGCAATGTCGAGTATGGGATCGGCAAGAGTTTCGTCCTGGAGCTTGTGAAGAAAACCCATGATTTGTTTCTCAGTAAAATCATGTGGTGGAATGGAACCATGGAGAAAGAGGGGTCAGAAGTCAGAAAATCCAGATTGGATGCCAAGTCAGCACAAAAGTGGAAGAATAAACGGCTAGTTAACAGGAGGAGAATTTTGCTCCTCTAAAATATAATTAAAAAAAAAGTTACTCAATTTAAAAGTATAGGTAGCTAACGTTTTTAAAAAATAAATATAAAAATAAAATTAAATATTAACCAAAAAAAAATCTCTCAAATAATGATATAAAATTTTTAACTATTTCATTTCATTATACTTCATTCAAAAAAACAAAATTTCTTAACAGAACCTTAAACGCTTAATAAGCAAATCTCTAAAGACATATATCATTAAATATTAGGGAAAAAATGATATATCTAACCTTATATATTTAAATACATATTTTCAATAAAATTAAGACACATAAATCTTTTACATATATATATATATATATTATTTATTATATAATTAATTCTTATTATTAACATCATTAACATGTTAAAATTTACTTCTCTTAATTTAAATGAATAAAATTATAAAATTAAAGTATAAATTTATCTTGCATGTTTTCAAGTAGGTAAAAAAAAATCTTAAATGTTTTTAAAAAGGAAAACATAATCTTTTGTTTTTATAATTTCATCAAATTTTACTTTTAATTTCTATAATTTTCTCAAGTATTTTTAGTTTCTATAAGGATTAAAACTATTAAAAAAATAAAAATTATACAAATTTAGAAAATAAAGATAACCTAATTTTTTTAAAATTATAAAGACTGAAAATATTAAAAAATTATAAAAATTAGAAGTAAAATTTAATAAAACTATAAAACTTAAAAATTATGTTTTTTCTTTTAAAAAAATACAATTAATATCTTAAAATATTTAAAAATACAATGTCACTCCGTTTTTCAAAATTCAACAATTTTGCCCTCTCCTTGCCACGCCCAACTGTTACAACTTCTTGATTCGACCGTCAAAATGTATGCGAGCATGCCACGTTTTTTCCACGCAATCAAACCTGTGCCCAAATGGATGGAATAATTTTGCACTCTTCCTTCACAACGGGTCGAACCCATTTAGGGAGATCCAGGTCTTGCTCTTCTTCGTCAACGTGAGGTCGAGTCGATGGAGGTTACTGCAAAGGAGCTCCTTCTCAGAACAACTGAAAGCAGTCACTCCGATCACTCGCCATTCTCACCGCCCAGGATGCACCACCGTCAAAATCCTCTGACAGACAAAACAGGAACGAGCTACATTTTTTACAAGACTCGCCCTTGTGCTAAATTGAAAATGGGTACCTGTAGGAACGACGAGAACTGCAATTTTACTCATGGCGAAGAGCATATGAGGCAATCACCTTCAAATTGGCAGGTACTTGTTGGTTTGCGCAATGAAGAATGGCCGTTTGGAAATTGGGACAATGACCAGAAAATCATCCATAAGATGAAGCTGTGCAAGAAGTATTATATTGGTAAGGAATGTCCTTACGGTGAAGTGAAATTTTCTTCATGAAGACCCGTCCAAGTTCAGGGACGACGTAGGGAGCTATAGGGAGAGCTTAGCTAAAGGTCTTATGGCCAATGGATCTCCAAAGTCGCACTTGAATGGCCCTAATAATTCGAAGATTTTATGTTTCCTGACATAGGCGATTGAAGATGAGAGCGCGAGAGGAGCATGAGGTTGCCGGAGACAGCGATGGATTGGATTGGGAGGTTAAGAGAGAGGGGAAGGAGGGGTGGCTGAGGAGGACGCGGGAGGGGAGGGTCCGATGGCGACAGAGGGATGGTGTTCCGAGCTTCCACCTTCAACTCCAGTGAGATCTGATGCTCGGTTTCCGAGGTTCCAACTCAACTCCGTCTTCGCAGTTTCAATTCCTTCCTTCAGCTGGTGAATCCCTGGTTACCTTTATTATGATTCGAAGTTTTGTTTTGTTCATTTTTGTTCAAATCCATGAATTGATTTTGCATTTATTATGGTTCAAAATTTTGTTTTGATTCTTCTGGATGCCTTTTTGTTCTGGTTTTCCTGGTTGGTGAAGGTGGGGCAACGCAGAAAATTGGGTTTGAGTTAACAGTACCATTGTCTAAAAGCTTCTGAGTAATTTCACATTTTTCTTTTAAATTTAAAAAAAACATATGTTTGATTCTTATATTTTACTTATATTTTATTATAATTTTTATTTTTTTTTATATTTTGAATCTCTCCGTAAATGAACAAAATAAACAAAATATATGATTTTTAAATGAATATAAAAATATTAAAAAATAAAAATGTAAAAATTTAAAATATTAAAAAAATACAAGAATTTATAATAAAAAATAATCAACGTACATGAATTAAAAGATATGTCTTTTCAAATTTTTAAATTATTCAAATTAGAGGTGGCATGCCAGACTTGAATATGATGGTCAAGAAGTAGAAGTTAGCCATTAACGTTGGCTTTTAGCAAGTATGAGGCAAAACTCTTCGATTGACTAACATTTAATTATTTATCTTTACACAATATTTTTTTTTTAATTTTTTAAAATATATTTTTAATCATTTAACTTTAACACTACTAATTTTATTTTAATAAAATTTTACATTAAACTTTTAAATATTAATAAAACATTCTCAAATATTAACATATTAAGTATAATTTTTTAAAAATAATAATGATTAACACAAAAAATAATTATTTAAAACTAATAATATTATAATTAAATAATTAAAAATATACTTTATAAAATTAAAAGATCAATTAAAACCTTGTTATATAAGTTAGATATTAAAAATATATTTTAACCCTATTTAATTTCAAAAAATATTGAGATGACATCACATCTTTAAATATTTTAAAATACCAATTACATCTTTTTAAAATGATTCAGAATAAATGTACATTTTAACTCAAAAGTATATTAAATATACGAAATTAAATATTTACATCTTTCCCTAAAAATCATTAGCTCATCTAGTATACCAGATAATCTTTCTTTTTCTAACTAGTTAATTTTCAAAGATGGTTAGAATATTCTCAGCAATTACTAAATTCCTAATGTTCTCTCTCTCTCTCTCTCTCTCTCTGCTTTGTTGTTGCTGTTTATTTGTTTATTTGTGTTTTTGTTTTTGTTTTGTTTGTGTGGGCTTCCTCTTTGTGATGCATAACCTTGCATGGACCATCATTGAACATGCACTTAATGGCCTAGTTCGAGTAAACCTCCAATCGAATGCCGCACAAGTGAAAATCAGCCCGTTGATAAGTTGCAGTCCAAGCTCTTGATTCCATTGACTCCGTCCCTCTGTTCAAAGAATGACCCTTCTAAAATGACTCAGGAAACCAAGAGCAAGATCATTTACGTTAATTCCTGCAAAGCCCCAAATCAAATTCAGAATGTAGCCACCAAATCCCAGACCAACTAAATAACTGGGAAAATTCTGGGGAAATCCAAATATTTGTAATCTCAGACTTACTCCTCCCTTTAGTTTTGTATGTACAGGGTCAAACAGAAAAGCACTTCTTTTTGCTATTGGAATATGCCATTTACGATTTATATTCTTCCCTTAATTTCAGGTTCTAGTTTCAATCTTTTTGAATTTGAACCCCCTAGAGCGTCGCCAGCTCCCCATTGAACTGACATATCATGCTGATAGGGGCAGCTAGAACCATTTCGACACCCCCTTGAGCTGTTAAAGTATAAGCAAGTTTTCTGGAATGTGTGTTTAACTTCTCCGTGTTTGTCGTTATGTACCGTTTTCATATTTTGGAAGTTACTGTGCCGGATACCTATACGTGAGTCCTGTGTGTCTTGCTTATCTGAACCGTGTTGCCTAATCAAGTTCTTTAAATAGTTGGCATCCTTGACAGAATGCGCTTCCTTGGCAGCAAATGCTGAACCTGAACTTAATTGGTGAGGCATTGCCCTGGCAGTAGATCGCAGCTGGCTTGTCATTGAATGTTGCACGTTCCCACTAGAAGAAATCGCTAGAATGGAAGCCAAAGATGTTGCATGCATCGCCCCAGTTGCCAGAAAAGCTTCTTGTTGAGGAGGTTGGGCATCTAAAAATGGTAGAACTCCATTTGACATACGGTGACAATTTTTGTTCACATGCCTCCGCATATCAGGTACAGGAGTCTGCACAGGAACAGAGGGAATTGCAGGTTTACCAGGCATTGACATTGGAATTGATGGAATTGCCAGCTTCTCAGGAATGGCTGGCGAAATTTCAGGCTTCAACCCTGAACAAGATAACAAACCCGTAGTGATTGTGGGTGTAAGCCAATGAGTTAGCTCACCAAGTGTGGGTGTCGACGATGGAACTGAAGGTACTGCTAGCTTCGATCCAGAAGCGGGCATTACCATTGTATTAGAGGATGCACTTGCAGTTGTGGCAGCAGTTCTATGATCATTAGCTAATTTCTCAATCATTAACGGGTCATTAAATATTTTAACGAGTAGATCCATATCAATCAAGCTTCCTTGCCCACTACTCTTCATAATGGCATTCACAACAGCAGAGGCAGCAACTAAATCTACTTCCAAACCAGGTGTGGGATTTCCGCAGACGGTTAAGGCAAGAGAAGAGGTATTACATTGAATTGGTTCCGTGATAACTGACATATAGTGGTGCAAGTTTTGTGACTGTACAGTGGCAGAAGCGTCTCTGCATGCTGCCAATTCGGGTTTATCATCCACAGACTGCCCTTCCTCAATGGGAATGATGGGGACCGGAGGAGTGAGTTTATCATCGTAATCTTCCTCTTCTACATCCAAAGCAACAAAAGGGCTATACCAAATAAAAGTTAACAAGGTTAGTAAAAGAGAATATCAAAGCAACACAAGGCTTTCTTAGTTATGCAACATCTCACCTCGGAGGAATGGCAGAGAGACGAGGATAAACTGCTTCAAGCACCCTGAGCTCTCTAAGTTTTTTATCTTCTTTCTCCATACTTTCTTCACCAGCCACAACATGCCAATTACGACTGATAACAAACTGGTTTGAAACATATAAAGATGAACAAAGTTTGTCAAAGAATTTAAAAACACCCAACAAGATAAAGAGCATAAACAAAAAAGAAAACTATAAACCACAGAAAGAGACAACAAAAGGCACCACAAACAGTGTACGCAGGAGTTTTAATAATGATCAACATCTTTTAATAAATGCCAAATATCTCATTACCGGAGGAGGGCATCTCCAATTAATCTGAGGAATGCAAGAGAGTTCATACTTTGATTGGTTTGGAAGTGGATTGCATTCAAACCCAGGGGGTAAATTATTAAATTCAATAGTACTTGAATTTAGCATTGATGACACCTTTGCTTGAAGTTGATCTTGAGATTTCTGGCCAACTTTTGAAGGGCAACCCTCAGATACAAACAATTTTACCTATTAAATAACTAGTATTAGTGCTAGAAGAGAAAAAGGAAATTACCACAAAAAGACTAAAATGAAGGAAAATTGCAAAATAAAGACACAGGCACAAAATAAGGTCCTGGTAAATTCATACCCACAAACATCATGGCACAGCAATACAAACAAAAAGAAAATAAACAAACAAATGTTAGGGGCCTTCCTTGTTGATGAAGAGTCTTGTGGGTTATACCATCATTGGTGCAATCTAAGCAAACCAAATCATCAGTTACTTGCAATAAGCTGTAGAGTATAAAGCCAATGTAAAAACCCTCAGCAATGACAAGCTTGACATGCCATATTGCATAACGAATGAGAAAAAAATCCCAACTTCCAACCACAGAATTCTCAACCTATGTCGAAACAAATTTTTCTATAACTGGCGGGGATTCTAAGAGAACAGGAAAATTCTGTCACATTGGTACAGCCTACATGACGTGTGTTAATACCATCCCAAAACCAATTATGCCGTACACTTAAATGAAGAAGAACCAAAAATGCTACTTCTTACGTTTAGGTGCTCTGGAAAGTTTAAGCCACCCCAAACACACATACAAGAAGCTTCGCAATGCAGTTCAGATTTCAAAACCAACCATGAAAAAAAAAAAAAAACATTGCAAACAAGAACATTTAAGATCGTCAAAGCGCCCTATGAGTCTCAGCCTCTATCAGGAAATAGCTTATCATTATTTTTATGGGATGTTTTTACAAGGTCAAAGTGCCACATGAAAGTAATTATAGCTGACCATTTATACAGAGAACTCTTGATCTATCTCTGCATCTTTAAGTACGGTTTGAGAGAACTTTGCAAGTTTGTTAATATAAACTAGAGAGGAACATCCACAAAACAAGCAGAATCAGCAGCTTTAATTTTAAAACTACAGTGTTTCATAAATCAAAATGATACTAACTTGTATTGCTCTGGTTTAATGTCAGTATAATAAAAAGTCATTCCGCTTGGAATTAAAATGGAACTTTTCCAGGTTCAACTTCGCAAAATAACTTCTATAATGAGATGATATACACAGGCAATGTTCGCTGAAAGCATAGTAATGCGAACTGGTATCTAATGTTCTAATCTGCAGTATTGATAAATTATTAGCAACTATAAGATAGACAAATAGCTATGTTATGAACCAAAACATTATCATCTCAAATATACTAAGGTTCAACCAACTCTATCAACAAAAACGAGAAACAATAAGATTGAGAAAACTGGTTTCCAAATATTGGCAACTGTATAATAGATTAAAAATCACATTTTAAATGTCTGCCAAAAAATGTTCTCATGAGTTATTACCTTTATCATGTCAGACTTCTAGAAGTCATACTTGCATTATATATATGTAACATGCAGCGTGATTAAGTTTCCCAATCATATCGCACAAGTCTAAATTACCATTTTCACTGGCAAATAAAACAACTTTTCCTTAAAATTGTCAGGCTAATAGTAAATAACATGGCATAATCATAACATATACATTTATATATAAGGAAGGTTGCATTAATCGTAAGTTCCGAACATTGCAACTCATTTCAAAGTCCATAGAATGCATGAGACCCGCATCTAATTACATAAACTTCAAAAGCAGAACAATTTTCGTTCCCATCTATAAACAATGGAAATTACATTGACTTTTAAAATAAAATCAGCATTCATCACAACAGTAATCAGATAGGGATAAAATGCCAAATACAGGACATGATAAATCATCGTCTATATGTCAATTTTATAAAGCATATACAAAGCAATCTGGCACGTCAGTTAACCAGCGTTCCAAGTCATAAGTCAAGAGTCCCTTGAATTAATGCATGCAAAGTTTCATTACCATAATGGTTCTGCTCCAATTAGAGTCGTGTCCCAGGGAAGATGCAAACTTAAATGAAAAAAAATTTCTAAGTGCTGAATCAAATCCCCAGAGTCTTTCAGACACTAGGACGCTAAATAAAAGGATTTGTTACATAGTATGGGCACTATTTGTTACTATCATCTTTCGCTAAAGACAGGCAACACATACATACATACATAAGTTAGGGGAACATTTAGGATACATTTGATATCACACACACACACACAATATTTAGGCAACTGGTGGAACACACGCACACACATGTTCCGTTTGGTATTAATTCCAACATTTGCATTACTTTGGGAGTTCGTATCGTATTTTTTTGGGGTTTGTAATGTATTAAATTCGAATGGAACAAATGAAGTATCGGGGTTTTTTAGCTATCTATCATATCCACAGTTTAATGCGTCGGCTTCTGACAACAAAATCGTATAATAATTGATGATGATGATGGGTCTTCATTCTTCAAATCATTTTTAACATTATGAATACAATGGGAATTGAAACACTCACTGAGTTTATCACAAATTACAGTATCTGCAATATATAATCCTCTCATTATAGGGTCAAGGGTGTTTTCAATATCTACATCTTATTAGCTAATATACATTGATATAATCAATCACTTCCAATCCCTCTCAATTTTCTTATATCCCTTTTAATACCGAAAATCCATGATATGTTTGTTATTATACGATAATTGATTTTGCAGTTTCATACGGCTCGATTTGCAATTATCAAAAGACACATGATGGTATAAATATTGAAAAGGAACTTCTCATTAATTAAAAGGTAAGGAAACAACCTTTCAACATTCATCTTTCAAGTTATTATTTTTAGCAGCATTAATAGTGTGTTGGAAAAGAGGGAAATTGAAGAAGTGAAATTAAAAACTTTTAATAAATTTCCTTTACTCTTTTATTTTCCATATTTTTATTAAAATCTTACAACTCCATCTATCAATCAATTTCTTTTAAATCAATAAAATCATTAAAATATCTCCCATCTACAAGGGGTTAAGGATGCTCACTGCTTACTAATAAGATGAGATAGCACGACTGAGCTTATGGATTTCAATTCAATGACTATAATTATTACAAGCACTAAATGTCTATATTATCTAAATCGTTGAAATTTAAATTAATAATTATGAATTTATATTTCAGTAAAGATTAATGAATGAATGAGTTTATCTAAATTGTTAATATAAATTTCAACAACTCAGATGATACGACACTCGGTGCCTGTAGTCATCAAATCCGAATCCAGCATGTAGTTCTTTTAGGATTAATCAACTATTCTCTAGGTCCATACAGTGTCATTAATTATCTAATTAAAGCTCCTTCTCCATACAATATTGTTTTAACACTGAAAGCTCTCAGCAATAAATTTACTCTGCATACAAATTTCACTTTTAAGCCCATTACATTAATCAAATGTATTTTAAAGCAACAATAATTATTATTTAGATTGTGAACTGTGCAACGGAAATTATCATGGAGCTTGTAGCACATCCTCTAGTTAAATTTTATCATTTATTAACGGGCCACTAATTCCCCTGCGTCTTCCACAGCTGCCAGTACGATAACATCAGGGAGCATGGTTAGAAATTTAGGGGAAAGGGAAGGGATCTTTTTAAGAGATAGAATGGCCTAGAACCCTAAAAGAGAAGGGCCACTGAGCGACCAAACAATAAGAAAAGAAATTTAGATGAAAGAATGGCGGAGTTATACCTGACAGAGATTCCCTCCGGTAGCCCATGAAACCCTGCTGGACGATTTTCTTGCTCGCCTCATAATAAATGCAAGAATTTGTGGTTTTATAAAGGAATGGGAGACACGGGATCGAAAATTTGAACGAAGAATAATGGGTATGGATCGTGAAATATGAGGAGTTGCAGAGCAAATAGAGCAGCGTTAAATCTCCGAGAAGGAGAGTAGAGAAGCCCTAGTTGGTAGAGGACCGAGGGAGAGTGGATAGGGACATGGGGTTAGGTTATATTAGTGAGGCTGTGGGAGTAGGGGAAGGAGGGTGACGGTAGTAAGGAAACCTGCGGCTCCTCGAGGACGCGATGGAGTGACAGCGCATACCCAACAGTCGCAATACTTGTTGAGTTGGCTGCGGACTACTTGATTGATTGAGGGCCTTTTTCCCCCGGAATTATTATTATTTTAATATACTCTTTTTTTTTTTAATATCATTTCAATTATATTGTCATTGCAAGTTACATTTAACTATTAAAAAAAACATGCATTTAATAACTTAGAACACAAGGATAATGCAGGAAACATATAAAAAAAATTGTATAGAATAAATGTAGTTTCTAAGTGAAGGGGGAATTTTGAAGGGAACAAAACTTTTATCAACTAGATTGGATATCTCTATTTAACGAAAAAAAAACATATTTAAATAACAATGACGTCTTGAAATTGTGGCAAGTTTTGAAGATAAAATTAATCATTTTGTTGTATTTAATATTTATTATAGCCTTATCTGAAAGAAATCTATTTTATTTTGATAAAGAAAGTAGTATGTGGAAGTCTTTCTTACTAGCACTCAAGGCAGCAATGGTCTTTGTTTTTATTTTTAGGGTTAAGGTACAAAAATGCTTTTGATATTTTCCTCGAGGCACACCCCATATCCTAAACTATTTTTTTATGCAATTTTGCCTCAACATATTTTTTTAGGTATAATGTCAACCACTTGTTAAGTGTTGACTACTTTGACCGTTATCTTTCAAATTTTGACTATGTTCTTCCATGTGCACTACTAGGACAATGTCCATATAGGTATGTGCAGATTTTAACCATATTCTGTCCAAAAGTCAAGCCTCATTTAAAACATCTGAATATTCAAACCAAAGTTGAGACCAAAGGTTGAGTTAGGGCTAGGATTCGAGCAGACAAAGTGGTGCTCATGTGATCATGGAATCTTATGAGGAATCTTGCCAGCTTCAAAGATGATGATAGTGACCAAGTTTCATGTGAAGGTTACAGGTGTGTAATTTCTGACAAACACTCTTTACTTTATTGTCACAGTAAATTGGCATTGAAGCCTTGTTTTTTTTTCCTTTTAGGATAGTTTTCAAATGGCTTCTGGTGGGTCCGACAATGAAGTTAGCGTCAATAAGGGTTGTAATAATGGGCCATTTGGGTTAGTGGGGACTAAGTGGTTTATTGGAGTATGGTAGAGGATTTATTCTCTAAGTTCGAGCATAGGAAAAAGGGCTGGGAAAAGACCTGTGACTGATTACTCGAGGGTTATCCATCCATTGTTGAAGAAATTAAAAATTATCATATTGCAATGCACGTGCCATTTTTGCTATCATGATAGCTTTTCAAGAAAAACTTGCGACTTGTGCCCTTTTCACATATGATATCCAATTGGAGTGACTCAACTGTTCATATGAAGCTTATTCAATAATCTAACTAATGGTATAAAATTTCATTATGATCTAACATTGTATGCGAGATTTGGATATCCAACTGTGAAAGTTAGATTTTATAATTGATATAGGGCATCCAAGCGTTCAAATCTCAAAACTTATATCATAACTCATTTTAGGGCTTCAACCAAGTCCGATAGACCATTATACATCTGAGTAAATAGATAAACAATCAACAACATATCAAAACTAAGATTTGGCCACCCTATGCCCCAATATCATATAATAGGGCTAGTCACCACATTTCTACTTATAATTGTTATTAGGCCAAATCATCACTATGTTTCACATCTATTAATCACTACATACACTTATAATAATATTTTAGCCTAATTTCACAATGTTTAACCAAACATTACCCTTTGGCCAAAATATTACAAATTCACTATACAAGTAGTTTAACATATCACAACACATTTTACAATGTACTTGTACTTGTTCTAATATTTCAGCCTATAACCACATATATCACCATATATATCATAACATCATATAATTTATGGGCTAAAATACATGACAACTCATTATCATGCATGCAAATTACCACACATATATACATATGTCCTTTGCAAATGTCTACTAATGTACAACTATATCTTATCCTAATTATATTTATAAATTCCATAAAACATGTTTATATGAATATAATATGTATAATGCACATGTAACTACTTTTACATACTTAAAACAATTAATAAATATTGTAGATTATTTAGTTACTTTAACCTTTTTGTCACTAAAAGGGTTACTTATTGTCCATGTGTACTCTTATTGCTTTCTTAACCTCAAGGAGATCTCAACTGCTAGAATCTACGACATACGCACTATATGTTATCTTTCAAACCCCAATATGAGTATTCCTTAGTTAAAGTTAGCTATTCAAAAATCCCTAAGTTCTATTGTTAAGCTATTTGAAGCTATAAATACTCATAACATCTTCATTTAGCAATAATAAGCTAATTTGTACCATTTCTCAACTCCTGCGACTTCAAAACTCTTAATTTATGGCTAGGGTTTATGCAACCCTTTCAATTCATTACTCAAATCTTCATAGTAACACTTACTCAACTTAAAGTAGCGTAAATCAAACTCCTACAACCACATACAAGACCTAAGGTTTGAGTGTAATCCCCCTTTAACTTAAAACCTAACTACCCATTCTTAGGTATCTAAGAAAACCAAGATAGATAGGCAGAGAAGGTCGTTGAGAAGCTTACCTATGTGATTGGAGGTCTAAACAAGCCTCTAACCTTGGTCAAATTCAAGTCATAGCAAAGCCTTCATCATGCTCCTTCATAGCCTAGGTTTTCCTTATATTTCCATTTATTTTTTTAGTGATTTATGGAACTTAAATTTGCAAAGTTATGCATTACACTGTAGAGTAATGTGCTTATGCTACGACATAAAACACTAAGCTCAATCTCACTTGTATGATGCCATCTTGTCTTGATCTAATCGAACTTTGACCTTAGCCCTTCCTAGAAGCTATCAAATTATCCAAAATGTTAATTAGCAACTCGAAAATATGTTTAACTTAATTACTCAATTAACTTACTAATTTATACTTAATTAGCCATTAATTTCTAGATTTAAAAATTAGGATGTTATAGGGAGAACATGAAATTGATGACAGTGCAGAAGAGATTGAAGGTGTTAGTGGAGATTTTGAGAACAGTCATTATGAGGGGATGAGCATGAAGGAAACAATAAGGATGTCTTTGAGGATTATGAAGAGGAAGACTTTAGGGTTATTAGGTTTGGTTTTAAAGATGATGAAGGGCCTATTGAGGAGAGGTAGAGGCCTGAAGAGAATAATGGTGGGCCTTTCATCATGTTGGGACTTTGGCTAACAAAGAGGAGATATTGAGGGCCATTAATAAGCATGCAATCACTACTAGATTAGGACTAAGCCTATAAAAAAGTGAGCCATAGAGGGTGAAGGCTATATGTGTAGAAGGGTGCCCTTTTATGTTGTATGCCTTGAAGGATGGGTCTAACCCAAGGTTTAAAGTGAAGGTTCTTTATTATAAGCATTGATGCCCTAGGGTTTACAATAATAGGAGGACTACAATAAAGTGGTTGGCTAGCTATTTCAAGATGAAGGTACAGGAGAGGTGTCAGTACAAGATGAAAGATGTGAAGAAGGATATACAAGATGAGTTAAAAGTTAACGTTAGCATAGCTAAGTATAAGAGAATGAAGAAGATAATTCTGGGGGAGATGGAAGGTAGTTATAAGTATGAGTTTACAATGCTTGAAAGTTATTATGCAAAGTTGAAAGAGTCAAATCCTAGTACTGATATATGTGTTTAGCTTAGCAAAGATGCTCTTGAGCAAGGAAGAAAGGTGTTTGGCAAGATGTATTTATGCTTTAATGTTACTAAGGTAAGTTTCTCACTGTAGTTAGTATTTCTGAGATGACTGTACACACTTGCTTACCCTTAATCTGGCTTATTATTCTTAGTAGTTTGGTTGGAAACCAAGGTGCAAAACCTTATTGGATTAGATGGAACATTCTTGAAAGGTCATGTAAGATGGATGTTAATAATAGAAATTAAGATTGATGCAAATGACTCAATCTTTCCTATTGCCTTGGGCTTGGTTCTGAAGGAGAACACAATCAATTGGCTGTAGTTCATGTAATGCTTGCAAACTTCATTAGAGCTTGGAGATTGAAGCAAAATAAATTTAATGTCAGACATGCATAAGGTACATTTACTTATGAATTTTTTTCATAAAGGTATATTTTAAAAGTCTAATGCTTTTCATTTTTTCATGTAGGGGTTAACCTTAGCAGTGCAGATAGTGCTTCCCTAAGTTGAGCACAGACTTTATGCAAGGCATGTTTATGCAACATGGAGCAAAAAGTAGAGAGGGCTAGTATTGAAGAAGTTTTATGCCTATGCGTGGTGTACTTTTCAGGAGTAATTGAAAGAGAACTTGAAAAGTTTGGGAAGCTTAAGTAAAGAAGCAATAGAAGCCATAGTTACATATCTCCTTTAGACTTGGGTAAGGGCCTACATTATTAATAGATGCCAATCTTAAAGTGTAGATAATAATATAGGTATCTACTAGTCATTAGGATGATTAATAGAATTAAGATTAAAATGATGCACAAGTGGGCTGAGTCTAAAAAGAATGTAGAGAGGTGGCTTAAGAATTTCAATCCAAAATATTTTGAGCTCTTTGAGAGTAATCAAGAACTAGCAATGTGTTGTAAGAATTTGTTTTAAATGGAGATGAGGGTTATAAGGTGACCGAAGGGGATGATAGTCATACTATCTTTATAACTAGTGGACTTTGCACATACAGGGTATGGGATTTGACTATAATCCCATGCAAAGATGCAATTAGTGCTCTATACCATGCCAAGGTCGATCCTAGGACCATAGTCTTGATATATTATCATAGAGATGCATATCTTGCAACTTATAGGATGAAGTTGCAACTAGTTAGGGGTAAAAGCTTTTGGAAATTAGATGATTTTGAGTTAATGGAGCCACCACTAATTGAGAAGTTACTAGGCAAACCCAAAAGAAAAAGAGTGAGAATAAAGGAAGCCTTTAAAAGAAGGAAAAAAGGTGTTGGCACTCAAAATATAGAGCTAGCTCATCCACTTGAT